GCATGCTCAGCTTCCTCTCCAATAGACTCCCGCTAATTAGGCTGGCTTTGGGCATCAATCTCTTGATTTGAGCCTCTAATAATCAGCCCAGATCCTGCTTTTTGCACAGGACGTGGTGGCTTTATCCATAAGTCATTATTAGCCATAATGGAATGGGAATGGGAACAGTTCTGTTATTGATGGCTCTGAGAGGCAGGAGCAGGGATCCCACTCTGCCTGTTCACACGGAATCAAGGCTTTCATTCCTCTGGCACCCCTCTGCAATAAGAAATGTCGTGTTCCGTGACTGAAAAGGGCATTTTTGGTCCCTCGCAGTCTTATTTATCCAAGAGATTTTGGGGAAGGGTTCGTACGGGTGTGGCTTGGCTGGAGAGGCAACTCCCCATCCCTGGAAGTGTCCCAGGCCAAGGTCTGGAACAGCCTGGGACAGGGGAAGGTGGGAACTGGATGAGCTTTAGGATCCCTCCCATCCCAAACCGTTCCCTGTAAGGAGCAAGGCCAGCTTCCTTCATTTCCCAGGTAACGACGGCACAGCGGCAAATCCAGCAGGGATTGATCTGATGTCACTTTTCCCTCTATCCAGGACGTCCCCACAGCCTTTTGCTGCCAGCAGGTGACAGCCTGGGGGCTGTGGTGCCATGCCCAGCTTTTGGGCAGCGTTCAGCCCCGGTGATTGTCCCCAGGGAAGGGCTCCCAGCGGCGTTTCCTGGCACAGCCCGGCTCGGCTCCTCGGGGCTGATTGCTGTGCCCAGATGAGCTCTTGGAGTTTGCTGCACAATCCAATCCACGGCATAATTGAAGAGCAGGAGGAATAAAATTCCTCCTCGTTTCACCCCAGTAACTCCACCGAATTCAGCGCAGAGAGCTCCAGATGGTCCCGCACGAGTCGGGTAATGTGTGGATTGTGCCAGAATAAATGAAATCTCCCATGCCTTGGTGGCTGGTTATTATTAAAGATCTGTCCCAGCAATTCATTGGGATTGGAAGGGACTGCAGCCCCTGGAAAAATGATGGATAGTGCTGCCGTGCAGCTCGGAGAGGGATGGAAAATCTGGCTCAACAGCACCGTGCCCACGTGTGTTCCCTCCGCTTCTGGAAAAGTCCAACCTCCCCCTTCAAACCCACTGATTTCCAGAAGAAAGCAGCTGGATTTCAAGGGCCTCTTCCCAAATGAGCCGTGCAAGTCCTGGGAGACAACTCCTTCTGGTGTCCCCTGCCCTGGGCTGTGGCCCTGCCACTTAAAAAAGATTTGTTCTGAGGCTTTCAGCGGCCCGGGGCCTTTAACATTTCTTTTGGCCTATAAACAAATTTTATCGTTTTGTTGGAGTCAGGAAAATTGCTGCATCCATCTTGGAACGCGGAAGGAGCATTAAAAACAAGTAGCTGATGAATAAAACCAGGCTTTAAAAACACTGTTGTGGAGTAGAAAGTCGCTAAGCTTGCTCGTTCGCTCACGCCCAACTTCTCTCCCTAGAACTGGGAGAGGCTGGGCCAGGGAGACGTGGGCTGCAGAGCGAGGGGGTGTTGAAAAGAGGTCACTTCCCAGCCCCACTGACCTCATTTATGGAATTTGTGCCTCGAGAGGCTGCATTTCAAACAGCCCGCTGCCCATTCTTACGGTGACAGCGAAGCGCTATCAGCTCTAGATCTGGAAAGATCCCAGGATTTCCTGGGGCCAAGGACCCACCTGGATGAGGAGGGCTGCTCCTGGCGCTGCACAGGGCACCCCAAAATGGCACCTGTGCCAGCTGTCCAAGCACAGCCCCGGGAGGTGAGCCCATCCTGGCCATGGCTGAGGCTCGCTCCTGCCCGGCCCACGGCGCCCCGGAGCACTGGGCCCCATGGGAAAGGGTTGGGGATGGGATGGGCTGGATCCCAACCCCAAAAGGGCTTTTCCAGCCCCGTCCCACGGCCTCTGGATGATCCCATCCCAAGCCAGCGGGGAGCCTGGAGCAGCAGGGCAAGGCTTGGATCACATCCCAGAGCCCCCACGGATCGATCCCTTCCTCATTCCCAGACTTTTCTGGGCGGTTACCATGGCAATGCCTTGCCTCAATAGGGTCCTTGTGAACTTGTTTACCATCCCAATTATAACATTTTCCAATCCCGGCTCGTTCTGACAGCTCCGTGTCTCCCATCTGTGCCCGATCCCGTCAGCTCTCCCCTCGCCCAGCAGGGACAGCTCGAGGGTCACAATTGTCACCTGCAGCAGCCCAATTGCCCGGCTCCCAGTAAAGAAAAGAGAGGAGCTTTTCCAGTGGGAAGCAGCCTGACCTCGGTGGGGAGTAGGGCTGGAGCAGCCAGGATGCTTTGGATGGAGCCTTTTCTCCATCAGGATCCCACTCTGCCTGTTCAGGAGCTGAGTGTGTGGTGTGTTCTACAACGCCAGAATTCCCTAAGGAAAAGCTGTTGTTTTAGCAGAAAGCACAGGAAAAGGTAGGAGAAACCAGAGGATTTCACACACCTGCCAATTGGAGAGATTGGAATGGATCCCTTAATCCTGCAGGCAGGAAGGCACTGACATCCACAGGGGAAGCTGCAGCCAAATCATTTCAGGCTGGAGATAAGCAGGCCCGGGGATAAAGTTCCAACTGGGATGAGAGTGCGGCCACTGGAAGCTCCAAGTCCCCAAATGAAAACCTTCTGGAAGTTTCCTCTGGCAGGGCTGGGCCGGGCGCAGCTTTTCTGGGGCGGAGATGAAGTTCAAGCTGATAAAGGTCCCTTGTCTCTGGATCTGGAAAAGAAAAGTGCACTTTTAAAAAAAAAAAAAGGAAATCTGTGCAGGGTCGGCCGCTGCCAAGGCGTGACTCAACCCCAAGAGGAGCAGATTCCTCCCAGCTCGGGAGTTTTCCAAATAACTGCGTGTTCTCAATGGCTCCATTATGAACCTCTGAAAGAGCATTGTGGGCACTGGGGCCTCGCTGCTCCAGGGTCTGCTCCCTGTGGAAATGTGGGGAGATTCGTGCTGGGCTGCAAAACCCAAAGGGTTTTGGCAGCAAAGCGGCGCAGATGGCCGGGAGAAGTTCCTGAGACACCAGGGGGAAAAAACAGAGCAAAGCAAACAAAACACGACAGGAATTCACAGTCCCTCAAAGGAAACGTTGGAATCTTCCCCAAGGATCACATGAACTGCTTGAAGACAGTGTTTTGGATGAGGGTGGGACACGAGGATCCCAAAAACCCGGAGTAATTTCGGTTGGACCATCTTGTCCAAGCTGTGCCTGCTCCCCAGCTTGTCCCCAGCCCAGAGCACTGAGTGCCACCTCCAGTCCTTTCCATCCTTAATGATTCCCTGCCCAGGGAAGGGGGATATTCCCCTCCCCACCGGCCTATGTTAAAAATGGATGTGGTTGGGATTGTCAGGGAAGGGCTCGGAGGAACCTCAGCCACCAGGATCCTGCCCAAAATCCCCGTGGGACGTGAATGAGATCCAGCAGCTCTGGATTCCCTGCTCTCTGGAGGGTTTGTTGGAGCACATTCCATGGGATTCCTGCCTCGGTGGGAAGAGGAACAGGAAGCCAAGCCAGCTCCTGGTCTGCAGCACAGCCAAGGTGTGCGGATAGCGGGATGGTGTCTCCTTCCAGTGGGGCTTCTTCTTCCAGTGGAACTTCTTCCTGGGGAGTTCTCCTTCCAGTGGAGCTTCTCTTTCCAGAGGAACTTCTCCTTCCAGTGAAGCTTCTCCTTCCTGTGGAGCTTCTCCTTCCCGGGGAGCTTCTTCTTCCAGTGGGGCTTCTCCTTCCAGGGGAGCTTCTCCTTCCCATGGAGCTTCTTCCAATGGAACTTCTCCTTCCAGTGGAGCTTCTCCTTCCAGGGGAACTTCTCCTTCCTGTGGAGCTTCTCCTTCCAGTGAAGCTTCTCCTTCCTGGGGAGTTCTCCTTCCAGTAGAGCTTCTACTTCCAGAGGAACTTCTCCTTCCCATGGAGGTTCTTCTTCCAGTGGAACTTCTCCTTCCAGTGGGGCTTCTCCTTCCAGTGAAGCTTCTCCTTCCTGGGGAGTTCTCCTTCCAGTAGAGCTTCTACTTCCAGAGGAACTTCTCCTTCCCATGGAGGTTCTTCTTCCAGTGGAACTTCTCCTTCCAGTGGGGCTTCTCCTTCCAGTGAAGCTTCTCCTTCCTGGGGAGTTCTCCTTCCAGTAGAGCTTCTACTTCCAGAGGAACTTCTCCTTCCCATGGAGGTTCTTCTTCCAGTGGAACTTCTCCTTCCAGTGGGGCTTCTCCTTCCAGTGAAGCTTCTCCTTCCTGGGGAGTTCTCCTTCCAGTAGAGCTTCTACTTCCAGAGGAACTTCTCCTTCCCATGGAGGTTCTTCTTCCAGTGGAACTTCTCCTTCCAGTGGGGCTTCTCCTTCCAGTGAAGCTTCTCCTTCCTGGGGAGTTCTCCTTCCAGTAGAGCTTCTACTTCCAGAGGAACTTCTCCTTCCCATGGAGGTTCTTCTTCCAGTGGAACTTCTCCTTCCAGTGGGGCTTCTCCTTCCAGTGAAGCTTCTCCTTCCTGGGGAGTTCTCCTTCCAGTAGAGCTTCTACTTCCAGAGGAACTTCTCCTTCCCATGGAGGTTCTTCTTCCAGTGGAACTTCTCCTTCCAGTGGGGCTTCTCCTTCCAGTGAAGCTTCTCCTTCCTGGGGAGTTCTCCTTCCAGTAGAGCTTCTACTTCCAGAGGAACTTCTCCTTCCCATGGAGGTTCTTCTTCCAGTGGAACTTCTCCTTCCAGTGGGGCTTCTCCTTCCAGTGAAGCTTCTCCTTCCTGGGGAGTTCTCCTTCCAGTAGAGCTTCTACTTCCAGAGGAACTTCTCCTTCCCATGGAGGTTCTTCTTCCAGTGGAACTTCTCCTTCCAGTGGGGCTTCTCCTTCCAGTGAAGCTTCTCCTTCCTGGGGAGTTCTCCTTCCAGTAGAGCTTCTACTTCCAGAGGAACTTCTCCTTCCCATGGACAGAATTCCCTAAGGAAAAGCTGTTGTTTTAGCAGAAAGCACAGGAAAAGGTAGGAGAAACCAGAGGATTTCACACACCTGCCAATTGGAGAGATTGGAATGGATCCCTTAATCCTGCAGGCAGGAAGGCACTGACATCAGCCAAATCATTTCAGGCTGGAGATAAGCAGGCCTGGGGATAAAGTTCCAACTGGGATGAGAGTGCGGCCACTGGAAGCTCCAAGTCCCCAAATGAAAACCTTCTGGAAGATTCCTCTGGCAGGGCTGGGCCGGGCGCAGCTTTTCTGGGGCGGAGATGAAGTTCAAGCTGATAAAGGTCCCTTGTCTCTGGATCTGGAAAAGAAAAGTGCACTTTTAAAAAAAAAAAAAGGAAATCTGTGCAGGGTCGGCCGCTGCCAAGGCGTGACTCAACCCCAAGAGGAGCAGATTCCTCCCAGCTCGGGAGTTTTCCAAATAACTGCGTGTTCTCAATGGCTCCATTATGAACCTCTGAAAGAGCATTGTGGGCACTGGGGCCTCGCTGCTCCAGGGTCTGCTCCCTGTGGAAATGTGGGGAGATTCGTGCTGGGCTGCAAAACCCAAAGGGTTTTGGCAGCAAAGCGGTGCAGATGGCCGGGAGAAGTTCCTGAGACACCAGGGGGAAAAAACAGAGCAAAGCAAACAAAACACGACAGGAATTCACAGTCCCTCAAAGGAAACGTTGGAATCTTCCCCAAGGATCACATGAACTGCTTGAAGACAGTGTTTTGGATGAGGGTGGGACACGAGGATCCCAAAAACCTGGAGTCATTTCGGATGGACCATCTTGTCCAAGCTGTGCCTGCTCCCCAGCTTGTCCCCAGCCCAGAGCACTGAGTGCCACCTCCAGTCCTTTCCATCCTTAATGATTCCCTGCCCAGGGAAGGGGGATATTCCCCTCCCCACCGGCCTATGTTAAAAATGGATGTGGTTGGGATTGTCAGGGAAGGGCTCGGAGGAGCCTCAGCCACCAGGATCCTGCCCAAAATCCCCGTGGGACGTGAATGAGATCCAGCAGCTCTGGATTCCCTGCTCTCTGGAGGGTTTGTTGGAGCACATTCCATGGGATTCCTGCCTCGGTGGGAAGAGGAACAGGAAGCCAAGCCAGCTCCTGGTCTGCAGCACAGCCAAGGTGTGCGGATAGCGGGATGGTGTCTCCTTCCAGTGGGGCTTCTTCTTCCAGTGGAACTTCTTCCTGGGGAGTTCTCCTTCCAGTGGAGCTTCTCTTTCCAGAGGAACTTCTCCTTCCAGTGAAGCTTCTCCTTCCTGTGGAGCTTCTCCTTCCCGGGGAGCTTCTTCTTCCAGTGGGGCTTCTCCTTCCAGGGGAGCTTCTCCTTCCCATGGAGCTTCTTCCAATGGAACTTCTCCTTCCAGTGGAGCTTCTCCTTCCAGGGGAACTTCTCCTTCCTGTGGAGCTTCTCCTTCCAGTGAAGCTTCTCCTTCCTGGGGAGTTCTCCTTCCAGTAGAGCTTCTACTTCCAGAGGAACTTCTCCTTCCCATGGAGGTTCTTCTTCCAGTGGAACTTCTCCTTCCAGTGGGGCTTCTCCTTCCAGGGGAGCTTCTTCTTCCAGTGAAGCATCTCCTTCCTGTGGAGCTTCTCCTTCCAGGCGACCTTCTTCTTCCAGAGGAACTTTTCCTTCCAGTGGGGTTCTCTTTCCAGTGAACTTCTCCTTCCAGTGGGGCTTCTCCTTCCAGGGGAGCTTCTCCTTCCCATGGAGCTTCTTCCAATGGAACTTCTCCTTCCAGTGGAGCTTCTCCTTCCAGGGGAACTTCTCCTTCCTGTGGAGCTTCTCCTTCCAGTGAAGCTTCTCCTTCCTGGGGAGTTCTCCTTCCAGTAGAGCTTCTACTTCCAGAGGAACTTCTCCTTCCCATGGAGGTTCTTCTTCCAGTGGAACTTCTCCTTCCAGTGGGGCTTCTCCTTCCAGGGGAGCTTCTTCTTCCAGTGAAGCATCTCCTTCCTGTGGAGCTTCTCCTTCCAGGCGACCTTCTTCTTCCAGAGGAACTTTTCCTTCCAGTGGGGTTCTCTTTCCAGTGAACTTCTCCTTCCAGTGGGGCTTCTCCTTCCAGGGGAGCTTCTCCTTCCAGTGAAGCTTCTCCTTCCTGTGGAGCTTCTCCTTCCAGTGAAGCTTCTCCTTCCTGTGGAGCTTCTCCTTCCAGTGGAGCTTCTCCTTCCAGTGAAGTTTCTCCTTCCAGGGGAACTTCTCCTTCCCATGGAACTTCTCCTTCCAATGAAGCATCTCCTTCCTGTGGAGCATCACCCCCAGCTCTGGCTCTTCCTCCCATAGTTTTCAAACAACACCTATCCCGCTCTCCAGCTCCTCGGGAGAAGGTGATTTGCTAAAACAGGGATTTAATATTCCACTTCCTCTATCATCCCCTCTTTTGGGTGGTTCCTGATGCTGGAGCCTGCTGGAATTTGAGAGGCAAAGGGGGAGGTGGTCTGTGCTTCTGGAGTGTTTGGTTTTAACGGGAGCAGCACCCTAATTTCACCGGGGAAGGAGGGAGCTGCAGCTGTAATCAGGTGGGAAGGGAGGTGCTGGGAATGACAGGTTTCCCTTTTGCAGTACAAACACTCTTCCCAAAATTACTGCTGCTCGGTGACAAATGTGCCACCTGCGTGAAGGCAGGGAGGAGCAGCTTCTCCCATCCATCCATCCATCCATCCATCCATCCATCCATCATCCATCCATCCGTGGGCTCCGAGGGGCTCTGGGCACTCTCTGCTCCTGCCCCCGGGCACTTCCCCCTTGGCAAATCCTGCGTTTGCCCGGCTCCGGGCCGCTGCTGCCGCTCTTCCTGCCGCTCCTGCGGGGCTGGAGGAGCGGGAGCTCGGTGGTGGCTCGCCGAGCAGCTCCTCTTTCAGGAGAAGCAACAATTGCTTCCATTGAGAGGCTGGGAAGTGAAACCCGGAGCGGTGGAGGGATGCACATCTGCGGCATCTCCGCCCCATCCAGCAGCCTTCCTCCTCCTCTCCTCCGGCTCCTTTCCCGGCTCCGTGCAGCAGCTCAGGCTGAAATGACAACTATTCCATGATTGGAAACTAGGGGGAAGAATTTCACCGGGATGGGAGCTGCCGGGAAAAGGCGGCTGGAGCCGGGAGGGAGCTGCTTCCCCCTCTTCCCTCGTGCTTCTGCAAAGTCACAACTTTGTCAGGCTGCGAATTCCCAAACCCTGCGGGCTCCCCCTCTTTCCCGGGGGTGGGGAGGGGGGGAATCGCATCCTGGCTGCAGCCCGGAGAAACGCGGGGATTCACCTTGTCCCGGTAATTCCCGGCGGGATGGGCAGTGCCAGTGACCTTGGAATGACTCCGGTGACACGGAAGGGAACCGAGCTCCTGCCCAGCGCCGGGAAGGGCTCTGCGTCCCTGGGTCCTTCCCACCCCCCTGGGAGCCCAGCAGGAATCCCGGGGGTGCCCGTTCCCGGTTTGCACAACACTTGGCACGGAGCAGAACGAAATCCGGGCGCCCCTGGAAGCAGAGTCCACGCATGGAAGTGAAACGCTCTGGAAAAGCAGATCTGGAGCTTCCTCCTCCTCCTCCTCCTCCTCCCCTGTGATGCAGGGTAGACACTTCTCCCGTTCATTCCAAGCAGAAGGCAGCCATGGTGACTTGGCAGGAGCTGGAGATCCGCCTTTGGAGCATGAATCAGCCCCATCATTTGTGAGCAAAGGAACATTTTGGGAGGATTTATGGCATAGCACGCTCCCTCCCGTCGGATCTGCTGTCACGGAGCCTGCTGAAGGCTCCAGATAAAAGGCTTGCAGTTTCCAGCCCTGGAAAATTGGAATGAATTCCCTGCTGGGAGCACACGGCCCAGGAGGGTTGGAAAAGCAGCTCCAGGGGATGGGGATGGGGCTGCCCGTGCTGAGCCACGCTGCTGGCAGCTCTGGATGATCCACGGCTGGCCCGACAGGAGCTCTTAACCCTGAGCCACGCAGAAAATTGGGAATAGTTTTATCTGAGTTTTATTGGTGGGAAAGACTCCCTGCTTTTCCATCCAGGAGCTCTGACCCGTCAGGAAAATTTCCTTTCCCAGTTATTTATTTTTTCCTCGTTGAAAGTTAATATTTCACGACGTCCACAGAGTTCTGCTGGTCCACAATTCCAGGCTGAATTCAGGGATATTCCCATCCAAGCCATCCAATGAACCTCCTGATCAAAGTCCAAGTGATGAAATCCCATTGCAAATCCCAAAATATTGTTCCATCCAATGGCCCAAGCAACTCCAAATTCAAGAGTTGCACTTAAACCTGCCACGGAATCTGTCCCACACGTGGGAAAGGCTGCTGGGCTCCTGAGTTTCTTCCAGGATATCCCAGGAGGTTCAAGCTCAAAAAGCAAAATTTCTCAAGTTTGAAATGAGTATTTTAATACATTGGACAAAAATAATTAGGCAAAAAAAAAAACAACCTAGGGAGTTTGGGAAAAAATAAGCAAGAAGCTTGAACAAAAATTAAGTTTGTGGAATGAAATTAAGGAAGTTTGCACCAAGAAATTAAGGAAGACTGGAAAAAAAAAAAAAAAAGAAGCTTGCACAGAAAATTAAGAAGTTTGTCACAAAATTAAGAAGTTTGCTGCAAAAGCCTCTCAAGTGAGAGCCCAGAATCTTTCGCAGGGAGGAGCTGCACAAAAGCAGCTCCCTGAACATGTTTTGCCTTTCCCAAAGCTGTTCCCTAAATGTCACTTTTATCGCCTTCTCTCCCAGCCTTTATGACCATATGTGTTTTTATGATATTCACAACATGCTTGTGCCACACAAGATGCAAATGCAATTTCCTGCTGGAACGGCTCAACACGCCAGGCGACAGCTGAGGGGACACAAAGGAAGGAGAGGGGCTGTTTGTGGGGGGATTACCTCGTGCCCAGGTGTCCCCCAGCCCCTTCCTCGGGGGATCCTCCTCCTCTTCCTCGTGCCATCAGCGAGTTTGGGGTCACAGAGCCCTGCCCTGAGCGCCTCTCCAGGCCAAGGAATCCAAATTCCTCCTGAGGCTGTGTCACAATTGCACCTTTTTCTGCGAGGAGGGTCTGGGTTCTTCACTTTTGTTACAGTTCCAGAGAGCTGGAGAGGGGCTTTGTGGTAAATTCCATCCTGGGGTTGATAATCCGGGATAGAGGCTCGGGAAATAGAAATCTTAAAAACCAGAGCAGAGCGTCCAAAAATAGGAAGAAGCAGGGAAATCCCATTTCCTGTGGAATTTTAAACGCGTCGGGGTTGGTTTTTCCAGCTGGGAGCAAAGTGTCAGCGATGCCTCCCCAAAATGCAGATTGGGTTTAATCCTGGCGGCACAACGGGGGGGGAAAAAACGGGAAAAAGAAATCGTTCTCCTTAAAATATTCATCCCTGGGCTCTCAGCCTGACACGTGTAGAGGCTGCGAGGGAAATTCCTCCGGGCTGCAGCCTCCTGCTCTTGGCCCGGCTAGGAATTACTCACGGAATAATAAACGGCCATGAATTATTTACGGCTTCCTCGAGGACAATTCCCCATTCTTACCTCGGTGCCCGGGCTCCTGTTCCTGCCGGGGAATCCCGCTGATCCCAGGGAGGATCCCAGCGAGGATGGGATGAGCATTCCTGCCGTGCCCGCTCCTGCCGAGGGAAACGCGGCAGGGTGAACGCCGTGGAAATTCTGATGCTGGTGGGGTTCAAAGTGATCCCCCTTTTCTCAGTTACAAATCAGATTTGTAATCCCTGGGATGATCCAGGTGGAGATCCAGCCTGGCTATCAGCAGGATCGGGATTGCGTGGCCCTCCTGCGCTCCAGCCCCAGCCGCTGGGAAATGTTGAGTTGACGGGTTTTGAATTCATTTGAAAACGTAAAAAGTTCTGATTCAAACACAGAAAATTAATTGAATTAACAAATCATCGGGAATCCCAGAGGGATGAGGCCAGACAATTAACTGGGAGGGAGGAATTTGGGACCTGCTCCCTCCCCAGGGCCGAGCCGGAGGAGAATCCCCCACCGGATAATCCGCAGCGGGATTTTCCCTACGTGCAAATTTAGGAGCTTTTGTGCCTCCTCCCAAGGAAGGGCAGAACGAGAGGATTAAAGGAAGAACTCCCTGGAAATCCCGATCTAATTGATCACGGCATTAATTCCTCCTGATCTCTGCTGGGAGATTCCTAATGGAATTCCAACCAATTCCCAGAGATCCAACACTGCCGACGCTCTGCTTCTGGTTTTAGGGAGTGGGGGGATATGAAATGAGTTTGGAAAAAGGCATCTGAAATCATGGCTGGGCTGGGCTGGGCTGGGCTGGGCTGGGCTGAGCTGGACTGGACTGGACTGGGCTGGAGATGGAAATGGGAATGAGAGTCACAAATAAATCCTGCATCAGCCTGGGCTGGGCTGAACTGGGCTGGAAATGGGAACAAGAGTCACAGATCAAATCCTGCATTGGGCTGGGCTGGGCTGAGCTGGGGTAGAGATGGGAACGAGAGTCACAAATAAATCCTACATCAGCCTGGGCTGGGCTGAACTGGGCTAGAGATGGGAATGAGAGGCACAGATAAATCCTGCATCAGCCTGGACTGGGCTGGGCTGGGCTGAGCTGGGGTAGAGATGGGAACGAGAGTCACAAAAAAACCCTACATCAGCCTGGGCTGGGCTGAACTGGGCTAGAGATGGGAATGAGAGGCACAGATAAATCCTGCATCAGCCTGGACTGGGCTGGGCTGGGCTGAGCTGGGGTAGAGATGGGAACGAGAGTCACAAAAAAACCCTACATCAGCCTGGGCTGGGCTGAACTGGGCTAGAGATGGGAATGAGAGGCACAGATAAATCCTGCATCAGCCTGGACTGGGCTGGGCTGGGCTGAGCTGGGGTAGAGATGGGAACGAGAGTCACAAAAAAACCCTACATCAGCCTGGGCTGGGCTGAACTGGGCTAGAGATGGGAATGAGAGGCACAGATAAATCCTGCATCAGCCTGGACTGGGCTGGGCTGGGCTGAGCTGGGGTAGAGATGGGAACGAGAGTCACAAAAAAACCCTACATCAGCCTGGGCTGGGCTGAACTGGGCTAGAGATGGGAATGAGAGTCACAGATAAATCCTGCATCAGCCTGGACTGGGCTGGGCTGGGCTGGGCTGGAGATGGGAACGAGAGTCACAGATCAAATCCTGCATCGGGCTGGGCTGGGCTGGGCTGGGTTGAACTGGACTGGACTGGGCTGGGCTGGACTGGGCTGGGCTGGGCTGGGCTGGGCTGGGCTGGGCTGGACTGGACTGGGCTGGGCTGGGCTGGGCTGGGCTGGGCTGGGCTGGGCTGGACTGGGCTGGAGATGGGAATGAGAGTCACAGATCAAATCCTGCATTGGGCTGGGTTGGGCTGAACTGGGCTAGAGATGGGAATGAGAGTCACAGATAAAATCCTGCATCAGCCTGGGCTGGGCTGGGCTGGGCTGGGCTGGGCTGGGCTGGGCTGGGCTGGAGATGGAAATGGGAATGAGAGTCACAGATAAATCCTGCATTGGGCTGTGCTGGGCTGGGCTGGAGATGGGAATGAGAGTCACAAAGAAATCCTACATCAGCCTGGGCTGGGCTGAACTGGGCTAGAGATGGGAACAAGAGTCACAAATAAATCCTGCATCAGCCTGGGCTGGGCTGGACTGGGCTGGAAATGGGAACGAGAGTCACAGATCAAATCCTGTATCGGGCTGGGCTGGGTTGAACTGGACTGGACTGGGCTGGGCTGGACTGGGCTGGGCTGGGCTGAACCGGGCTAGAGATGGGAATGAGAGTCACAAATAAATCCTGCATCGGCTGGGCTGGGCTGGGCTGAACCAATAAATAGGAACACAAGTCACAAATCAAATCCTGCATTGGGCTGGGCTGGGCTGGGCTGGGCTGAACCGGGCTAGAGATGGGAATGAGAGTCACAAATAAATCCTGCATCAGGCTGGGCTGGGCTGGGCTGGGCTGGAGATGGAAATGGGAACAAGAGTCAGATCAACTCCTGCATCGGCCTGGGCTGGGCTGAACCGTGCTAGGCTGGGCTTGCAGCCCGTGCCCAGCAGGCAGCAGCATCTGCCCCGAGCTGCTCCAAGGCACTTGCAGCCCTGCTGGATTTGGGAATTGCAGGGCTGCTCATCCCTTCTGACTGCAGTTAAAGGTTGGGACAGGGAGTGTTTTTACCTCCCAGCTCGCGTGGAGCCCGTCCAACGCCCCCGGTGAGAGCAAAGGAGGGGATGTGTCCTCATCTGGGCTCAATCAGGGCCTGATGGATTTCATGCCACCCCCTGGGCTCCTCAGCCAGGTGCTCCCCTTTGACCCCAGGCTGTGAAAAGCTCCCAAGGTTTCAGGTTCTGTGTGTTTGGAAAACTCCAATAAAAGGTGCTTTATTGATTCTAATTAAATCTTTTTTTTTTTTTTTTCTGAGGTGGAGCAGATCCCAGTTAACTTTAATTTAGGGCTGACATTTACCCGCTGCTGGAGGAGGGGGAATTCCAAGTGGACAATTCATTGCAATTTGAGGGAAAAACATCCCTGAAATGCCAGAAAAGTGCATATTTAACATTTGCAGTAATTAAGTGATTTTAATTTAATAATAAATCCCTCTTGTCTCTATTTCCCCTCATCCCTCACTCCTGGCCTGGCACAGGGATTGAACTGCACTAATTCCTCCTTTTTCCAGTGTAAATAAACTTTAATTCCTTTCTCCAGCCAGGCAGCACCTTCAGAATTCCACTTTTTGTCAAGAAATCCTTCATTTGGAGGTTTTTTTTTTTTCCCCTGCAACAAGTTTTTCCCTCTATCCAACAAAACAACTCCAGACTATCCTGCACCATCTGGAATGCTTTGAACGGAAACACAAAGAAAATTCTGCCATAACCCCTTTGGCTGCCCTCAGACCTCCCTGCTCAGGTTTTTATCCTACAAAGCTCAGCCTTTCCCTGGTCAGGTTTGTCCAGTTTTGAGAATCTTTCACGCTCCCAGGTGAGCGTGACGGCACCCAGCAATTTGGGATTGTGTTTTCCCCTGCGACACTAAATTCCGCCTTTTGTGTGAATACAACTCTGCAAATAAAAATTGTATTATTCCTATTTTAAAGCATTTTATCCATGTTTCCTTTTGGAATCACGTCCTGCCCCGTGGGCTTCGTTCGCCTACGTATTTCCGGAAATATTTGCGCGACTTTTCGACCACGGCGACGTTCGTTGACAGAACGGGGTGAAAACACCAAATATTTGGGACAGAACGTGCCTGGCCTCAAGTGGAAACGTGCTTCCCTAATATTTTTTGGGAGCACAAAGCCACGAGCAGCCACCCCAGGAAGGGTTGTGGCTGGAACAGGGGAGCGCCCGACCTGTGCCCCCCGGGGGATCTTCCCCAGGTTTGATTTAGCTCTGCTGGACTAAGCACGTTATTAATTGGGTCTTTTTTATTTACAGTTCCTTTGCCCAGAATATCTGCTGGGGGTGGGTAATTGAATTTGGGGAGGCCAGTAATTAAAAAAGTCCGAGGAGCAATAAACGAGAGCCTGGGAGAAGGGGCATCCATCAGCCGCGTGAAATGATTGCAGATCATATTTGAATCCTTAACTCTAATTTATGGCTTCCTGAGGATTTACAGCGCTGCTGACTTGGTTTTGCTGCTCCTTTCCCCCTGGAGGAGATTTCCAAGAACCCCGTGGGTGTTTCGGGTGGCGGTTTCGGTGTCCTGGGATGTTTTGGGGAATGTGTGGAAGGAGAGTTGATTTCCTCGTGGGATTTTTCCAGGCTGTCACCCCCTCGGGGAATTCTGGCAGCCTGTCCGAGGACATGTGGCACGGAGCGGGTGCCAGGGAACCATACCTTTCCTTTGGGATGCAGTGGGACAGGGATCTGCACAAAAGAATGACCAGCAGCAGGGAATTCTGCTGAGAAAAAACGGGGAATTCTGCAGGGACAGTCAGGCTGTCATCCCCTGGGGCTGGAGTGCAACACGATGGAGTTTCTCAGCACTGCCTCAGAATTCCACACAGCATTTCCCATTTTATCCCATTTGCACAGCTTTCATTTTATTCAAAACTCCTCTAAGAAGGGAATTCCTGCGCTGCAGCAGCTGCTGCCGTTTGAAATTTATTTACCTGTTTTTTCCCAGCGAGCTGGAACTTCCTGCCCTGTCCATTTTGGAGCGTGGATCTTTCTGGAATGCGCTTCGCTGGGATCAGTTCGGGAGCTTCGCTCTCCCAGAATTCCGTGGTTTGCTGGCACGGGATCAAAAGATGACAAACATCCTGCAAGAAAACAGAGGCTTCATTGTTGCTTCATTCGGTGGTGGTGGGGGGGGGGATCTGCAAGTCCGAGGTGGGGCTGGGATTTGGGATAAGCGATTTAATTGTGGATTGATAATTCTGCCCGCTTTTGGGAATAAAGAAATCTCCGCGTGGAGGGAGGCAGAGCTGCCGCTCCCGAGCTTTTGGGAAACGTCATTTGGGAATGACAGAACCACTGCCCAGGGGCCACCTTGGCGCAGGAGGGAGGGGCAGAGCTCTCAAAGCATCTCTTGGAAAAATGGGGGGAAATTCAGCTTGGAATGCTGCATCCACCCAGGAGCAGGGAAAAGATTGGAAAATGCTATTGGGAATATGGAACTGTTTTCCCAGCCCCTCATCCCCTTTGGGTGGCAGCACGCTGGACACCCGGGAGGATTCCTTTGATGGGATGCTGGGCAGGGACAATCCCAATAAAAAGCCAACATTTCCCACACCATGCAGAGCAATCCTAAACCACAGCAGTGATCCGAGTTCTTCCAGGAAGGAAACGCTTCCCCACATCCAGCTCCCGGCAGCCTGTAGCTCCGTCGTGCCAGACAGAAACGGCGCCAAGCTGCGCCCGAAAAAAAAACCGCGCCGAAGGAACACCTCGCGTCGAAAGAGAAGGAGGAAAGAAATCGGACTCAGAATTCCGCGGGGGGGTGGGGAGGGAGGAAGGGCGTTGATTTGGGAAAAGGCTGCGGGATGGAGGGATAAACAAAGCTGGGATTTTTCACCCTCAGGCCGTGCCCCTGTCCTAGATGTCCCTGCTCCTTCTCCTCTGTGCTCTTACTGCGGGGAAGGAGCACAGCGGGGCACGGCCGCTGCGGCGGATAATTGGTACAGATATTTACATGGATAATTACTGAAGTATTTCAAGATCCTGGTTTCTCTCCCCCCACAGTTCAGTTCACTTTGTGCCCAGAACCCAAAATCGGGTGCGGCGATGGCCCATCCCCGGAGCGAGTTCCAAGCAAGCCTTCCCTCCGTCGCCGCGGCGTCCTCGGAACTTTGCAGCCTCCTCATTACCAAAGGTTGTGTTTAAGATTCCCGTGTCTCCGGCTTAATAACCCCCAAATGAGTCCCGGCGGAATTAGCCGTAATTAAGGACATTGTGAAATATGGCAGGGGCAAAGGGAATTACGCTGTATTACTTTATTAATAATATTCCTTAACGACACTGAAAATTGCTATTAGGCCCGAACATTCCTGCCTGGATATGGAAATAGTCTTTTGCTATGCTAATCTAGCACAATTTTCTTTTCAATGTAAACAAATTATGCTCTATTAATATGCTGTTCTCCTTGCATAGTTAATTATTGTAACAGTAAGGAATAAAATGCTCCGGCTTTCGCTGTTTGGGATGGAAAAAAAGGGCTCCATAAATACTTTAATAGGGAGCTAATTATGCACAGAATTCCAACGCCGAAAATGTGTTTGTAATTGCATTAAAACGGTCTTCTGTTCAAATATTGGGAAGCCAGCTAATTGGAGGTAAGCTGGAATTTCAATATTGTGAATCAATGATTTCCATCCTCTCCCCGGCTGCTGGCTTCTCCCTCGGAAAGGAAGAAGGGATTTCAGAGCTTTGAGCGGTGGGGTTGATTTGGGTGCTGGAGGAGACAACAGTGTCCCAAGGACCAGAAAAGCCTCGGGCTGGAATTTAGGGAAAAGCCCACCACGCAAAGGCTTTGTAGCCGGAGTTGCCGCCGCGCCTGGAAGCGTTCAGGAAACCACGGGGACGCGGCACACGTGAGGACATGGAGGGACTGATGCCCTTCAAGCTCTTTTCCAACCTCAACAATTCCACCACGGTCCCGAAGTGGGGACGGACTCTGGAGGAGACTCCACCCCGGGGAGCGGAGGTGACAATCGGGGACAATCGGGGACAACGAAAGTGGGGACGGACTCTGGAGGAGACGCCAGCCCGGGGCGGGAGCGGAGGTGACAATCGGGGACAATCGGGGACAACGGCGCGGCGGGCACCGCACCCCGTTCCTTCCCAGCGGGAACAGGCAAACAGCTCGTGGCACAAAAGCAAAGGAGAGAATTCCAAATGGCTAATCTCCAGCCACCCACACAAGTTTTGTCTCTCTTTAGCACCTTTCCCTGTTGCTAAGTCTCGCATCCAAAAAACCGGAGAGGAGACACTCCAAATTATGCGGCAACATCGTGCTGAAAACAGGCTGGGAGCTCGGAGCTCCTGGTTATCTTTAGGAAATGCTGGTTACCTTTAGGAAATGCTGATTACCTTTAGGAAATGCTGGTTACCTTTAGGAAAATGCTGATTATCTTTAGGAAAATGGTGATTGTGTTTAGGAAAATGGTGATTGTGTTTAGGCAATGGTTGCCCTCAGCTTGCTTTGTCCCTGAAATGCCGCTCGTGTCCCTCAGACGAAACACCTGCAGCGGGTTTTTTGTGCCACGTGAGTGACTTGGCTCTGGTTATTTTCATTGCTAAGTTGTTGAAAACACACCTGAAGGCGTGTGGCAAGGGCAGAGGAGAGCCTTCCAAGGGAAAATTCCTGACAAATTAGCTCAGGTCAGGAGTTAGTACTTCAATTTTCATAACAAATACTTCAGCAAACCCAATTCCTTAAGCTTGCCTGTAGGAAGCCAAAGAAATCATCTGCTTCAGGGGGGGAAAAAAAAATAAAAAAAAAGACATGTCAGATCCCAGCTATCCTGCCAAAATCCCCAAACAGCTTCCTAGCTTTTAAGGGAAGAGCATTTGAAATATCTTTGCGGAGTCGTGTCTGTTTGTCTGACAGATGTCTGCAATGTTCTGGGAGCTGGAGTCATGCTCCGAATGTAAATAAGATTACGGGCCTCGCAATATTCCCGTTCCTTCCCTCGGATTTACCGAGGAGAACGGAAGGATGGTTTATTTATTTTTTTTTCCCCATGCCACGAGGGGGATTAAGGTTTTTTTTTTTTGCCTGGTCAGTTAAATGCTCAGGTTTGTCCTTTAATCCGGGAAGGATCCAGCTGTTGGACCAAGAGGGCAATTTTTGGCTAAAAAATAGAAGTTATTCATTGGGAAGCATTCGAATAGAAGTTTACTGAGGCCTGCTCTGCAATCCTCAGGGATGTCCCCGTGGTGGGAAGGGGTACCCATGGCATGAGGCAAATTCCCACCTCGGGGGAGCACGGAGCCATCCCCGCCGGCACGCCGAGGAACAAGGAGCGGCTCCCGCGGCAGGAATTGGTCATTTTGCCTTTTTCCACCCAGCGGAAATGAATTCACCCAAACTCCCGAAACAAAGCCTTTCTTCAGAGCTCCCACGGGTTTGTCCTTTCCCTGCCCTTTCCCCGAGGGTTTTCCTAAACGGATCGGGCACCAGGAGCCGTCCCCGCGTTCCGGCCATCCCTCGGAGGGGGCGAATTCGTCACGGGGATGTGACAGGGCCTGGGTGGGAGCCGCAAAGTCAGTCCTAGGCCGGGACCGGCGCGGCTTCCACCTCGGACAAACGAGGTCTAATTAGATTAATCTGCAAATCTGGTGTGATTAACGAGCGCCTTGCCCCGCTCTCACATCAGAGCCGTGGCTTCTCGGAGGGATTTCGCGGAGCTTTTGCTCGGACGGCGCGGGTGTCGGACGGACACTCTCCAGCTGTTCGGGAACCATGTGTCAACGTTATTTACCAACCTAACGTGACGATAATTACGGAATAAAGCGCGGGAAGAGCGCAGGATGGCCGTCCATACTTAATGACGGCGCTCTCCTGCCTTCGCGATCGGGCCCGTCGTCGCTGGAGACGAGCTGTCTGCGCCGGGGTGCGGGGACTGCTCATCGCCGAGCTCGTTCCCACTTCAAAAATTCATTTCCAAATGGGTTTCAGGGTTCCCAGCAGATGGGAGAGCACGGAAGTCACGAGCGGCCCTTCTCCGCCGTTTAACCCTCGCGGTGCCGGCGCGGAGCGGGGTTCTTTCGCGAAGGGCTCCTTTAAACACCTGTACTTTTAGTGCCGCAGCAGCGTGGCAAGAGGGAGGCAGATGTGTAACCCGAGCCGTTCGGAATTAGAAAAACATGCCTTGGAAAGGAAGGAGGCGTTTTGGGAGCAAGGCTTTTATTTCAGACATCAAACCAGCATCTTTAAAGAGTTTCCTTCGGCTCCCGCTGAGCGTTGCTCTCTCCACAGCCAGTCCCGGTGGGCAAAGCAGCCAATTAATTCCCTGCGGCCAGGTTTAGGATGGATACGAGCGATGATTTGTCCGTGAAAAGCCTGTCCCACTCTGCCACAAAGCGGGGTCACCATGGCACCAGGGACACACGGAAGATCCCCCGAGCCCTTGCGCAACGTCACACGCCGATGCTCGGGTTCTGGGTGACACCAGAATTGGGAAAACCGGAGAGATGAGCTCCAGGCTCACCATCCACCCACGGCCTGGCAGGACCCCCGAGCCCCCAGCCCCACCCCAGAGGGTCCCCAGCAGGGAAAGCTCCAGCCGGAGCTGCCCGTGCTGGACACCATTCCCTAAATACCAAATCTGTTCTTCCTCCGACCCTCTCGGGATTATCCCGAAGCTCTGCACAGCGACCCCCGACCCCGGTGCCCTTGGGGTTGGGTTTTTTTTTTTTTCCCCCCCCGAAGTGTGAGCTCATTTGAAAATCCCAATTTCTCCAATAATTCGCCGCAGCTGCCGAGATGTTCCCGTGCTTTTGATCACTGTTATTAATGATGTGCTGTAACATATGCAAGGCTTGCAATCCCAGCTACACTTTCTTACAAAGATGGGTTTGTACTCCCCCCAGCTCCCTTCCCCTCCCTTTTCCTCCCTTTTCCCTCCCTCCCTCAGCTCTGATGGAGCTCATATGTTTTAGGAAGTTCATCTCCCAGCTATTAGGAAATGTGTGGGCAGCTCCTCTGTGCTACAAAAGACACTGGAGGAAGAAGCTGTTCCCTTTTATTCCC